TTAGGAAGCTTATTCTATTATTTTGTACATAGTCATTTTATTATATCGCATATTTTTATATATGTATATAACTATATAATTTCTTTCCTTGTTTCTAACAATTTCCAGAGTAAATTTCTAGGCTTTTTATAACTTTATCCCTTCCCCACGGCTCGCCATTTTACACACACTCAAGTAGTTATGCTATGATTAGGAAAGCTACTTCTAGTATTTTGTACACATTTTATAATATCGCATATTGTTTTACATAATATTATATAGTTTCTTTCCTAGTTTCTGGCAACATCTAAAGTAAATTTCTAGGCGTTTTATCACTTTATCCCCTCCCCAAACATCTCCATTTTACACAAACTCAATTAGTTACCGTCTTCCGTAAGATCTTTTAAGGACATTTCCATCGCACTTGACTGATCCTCATTTTTTCCTAATGATTAGAAAGAGACATCAGCTAGCTAGGTTAACTGCCAAACACTTAAAAAAACGAAAGAAGACTATTACTTCACAGCACAGACATTATCAGATTAAAATTAAAATAACAACAAAAAATAACGAGAAACTGTGATTATCTTCTTTCATTTAATTCTTCACCCTGCAATTCCGACCTGTTTGATTTTCATTTATTCAATTTTCATCGTCATCATCCCTTCATCGGCTCATAACGAACCAACTCAGAGCCCGCGTAGCTAGCGGGGGGACTCCCCTGGACCTGTTGAGCAAGACACATCAAGTCTTTCGATATGGATTTGTTTTCTTTAGACTCAGTTATTTTGATTATAGTGACTTGCAATAGTTTGCCATTTTCATATTCGGGGTCGATTTTCGGAGACATATCTCATGACAAGTGCTGAAAATAGCATTTCGGAGCCTCCAAATTTGAAAATTGTCTAGGGGAGGATACCCCCAGGACCCCTCTACAAGGCTCGTGCATTGGACATAATGCCCCCGCCCCGTTACAAAAAACCTAGTTACGGTCCTTCGAGTCCGTCAATCAATGCTCCCAGTTGGCTTGTTAGCTCAGACTGTAGAGCGCTGGAACCGTGTTATAGAAGCCAAGGGGTCGAATCCCGGCAAGCCTGAATTCTTCAAGCTTTCTTTTCGCCTCTGCAAAAGTTGCGTCTATAACTGCGATGATCTCGTTCTTGTCTGTAATAACATGAAATAAAACAACTTGCAACTTACGACAATTGTTTCTTTTATTCCGTTAATGATCCAATCTCATTTACAGGATGTAAGAAACCAGGAAATAAGTTAAATTATCATTAACTATCGAAATATAAAAAGAGATGGGAACAACTAGTGGTTCTTGTAACAAACTTCACCCATAAGACCACATGAACAAAGCAAAATGGTCAAGGTACAGATAATAGTTATTAAAGCAATACTTTATATGCATTGAGGATCAGTGACACACCTTGTTTTGATAGAGTTCGTCTATTTGAGTTGGCTATGATGGCGAACAGCAGTAAACGGGTGACTGCGACCTTCATGGCTATGACAAATTAAAAAAATCAAAGTTTGGAGAGATAAATCATTTAAATCTTAACTGTCTTTTGATATTTAATTGACCTTTACCTGTGACCTTCCGTACGTAAGGTAAGGTTTATGTCCAAATTGCTTTGAGCAACATCCTTCGTAGTGTTAAACGATGATATACCTTCCAATTTACGGAGACCTTTTTTTGCTCTGAACCGCGCAGGTTTAGCTCAGTCGGTAGAGCGCTTGATGAAGAGCGGAAGGGTCGCGGGTTCGATTCCCGGGGCAGGACCAATACTCAAAGTCTTAGAATAACTGAGCAATTAAGGTGCTCCCTTTGCACTGCAACAGGCTAGACCTTTGCGTGGCTCGGATGACAACGTAAAATGGCGGTCCCGTCTCCAGTTCGAGACGTAAAAATAGTGTCCCCAATTAGGACTTTCGTGCTACATACCTTGACACTCAAATAAAAGGCTTTTTTTTTTTAAATAAAAATTGTACCGTTGCCCTCAGATTGAGCGTAGGAAAACTTATTCAAGTAATCACCACAACTGTCCGTTGTTTTCTTTTCATGTAACAGTTTTAAAGCCATGATTATACGCCTAGTTGTGGAATTTTTCTACTCTTTTTTTGTTTAATTACCGTCATTATTAAAAATTCCGGGGGGAGGGGTGTTAAAAATAAACACCTAGATGGCTTTACTTTGATGCGTGGGTTCATCAGGGTAAGAGGTTTCTGCAGTGTTTACAGTATTTTAATGAACGGCTTCTTTTTGCAGGCGCCGAAAAGGTCTCTTTTATTGACATGCATTATTAACGGCGTGTTGCTGAAATGTCAAGCCACTTCAGCCTATGTTTGTTTTTGGGTGGAATTTAAATTTTAAATGGCTTCAAAAATACCTACCAAAACTGCAAGGAAGAAAGAGTTTGATGTGGCGTTGTCTATAAAATGGAAAGATTTAAGTAATAACACGACCTTATAAATTGCTTCTTCTCAGTACTCACAGTGTTCTGTACTTTCAGCAAATCATCAAAAAAAGAACAACTATAACTATATTTTGAAGCTTAAGAGTGAGCTAAAGTCGGACTAGGACAATTGTTCAAACGAAGTGTTCTCTTGAAAAAGAAACAGAGACAGTGGAGAAATGCTGGTTTAAAGTGCGAGTCATTGAAGGATCGGTTCTTTACCAGATAGTTCTCCAGTTCTTAAATAACAGTGTCCATAACAACCGAAGGTGTGAAGAGGTACTTACTAGCCTCCGTGTATATTTGGGCAGTATAGGTTTCTTACTATATTAAAAATGATTGTTATCGGCTAAAAAAGAGAACTAAATCAGCCAAGGGTGTAAATCTTGAGCTCCAACAGGATAAATGAAAAACACTGGTAAAAGAAAGAACACTCACCTTAAATTAGACAAGAGGACAACAGGCCGAGGTGATTTAAGAATTTAAGGAACTCCGTTGCTAATAGAAAAGTGTGAAATGACCTTTTGAAGCTTGTTTTCAAATACAACCATAAAACAGCCTTAACTTCTATCTTCCAAAGTTTTTTTTTCGTGTCTTGGCTTTCTGGAACTTTTCAATCAAGGAATACAATTGTTATCGAGTAAATTGAAGACTTATGGCTGATTATGATAGTGTGATTAATTATTAACAAAACTCTGACGTAATTGACGTCACAAATACCAGAAAAGGCACGGAAGTTCATTGGGTTTAAAAAGAATTACTTTAAATTTACATTCATTTTTTTCAGTCAAGTAAATAACTATCAAGTTAGCGGCATAATGTGGCTGTCAAGGTTTGTTTAGTACCTGCTGTATAATGATTTTCCCTCTCGTTATTTGCAAACGAAGAGCACAATTTATTAACATGTATTAAGTGAACTTTGCCATTTGTAAACAAGCTGAAAAAGACATTGTGAACGTTTCGGGATGCAACTGAACCTTTATCCATTCAGCTGAGGACTTAAACGATTAAATAAATACCAACCAACACTTGCTTATCATCTGCAACCAATCTGCATATTAACGAGTATATGTTATCGTATAAAATATTGTATCTTTAGCCGGTTTGTGTAATCTGCAGTGTCGCTGTATTCGTGTGTTTGGAGGTTCGTTCACCAAAAAATATTCTCAAGCATTCAGTTTCATTTCAACAGCCCACGCTCGATATATTAAAATTCAAACATGACTCCGAGGCTTTGGGGGCAAAATTACAAATTTTTCACGACTCAATTGTCTCTCAATTCCCAGAAGTGACTTAAGCACAACAAAAACTAAACCAAATATAGAAAAATGACCAGAAAGCCTTGGAGTCATGTTAGCATTTTATTGCATAAAAAATATATCTAGCCGAATTTTTGACAACGTTACTGCCAAATGGGCCTTTTGCGTCCAACAGTTTTTTTTTTGGCCAAAGTGGCTATTATAAAAACTAAGAGTGCAACCATTGCTTTTTTCTCTTCTCCTCCTTTTCTTTTCCTGGCTCATTGTTTTTCTCCTTTCCTTTTCCTTCGTTAATATGATTTTGGAGCTTCTCGGGTTTAAAAAACCTGCCTTTTGACGCCTTTTCAATGAAATGACAGCAAATTTCGTTAGGTTGGTTTTCAAAAAATTGGCTAGGTATATTTTATTGTATAAGCATAAAATTCGATTGTAGCTTGAAACAAAAGAATTTTGGCAGGAAAAATAAATCCCTGAACCGCAGTGCGCAAGCTCACCAGGTGATCGTCTCCAGAGCCAGTGGCTCCCCTTCTTCTCATGTGGTCTTTGGATAGGAATTAAGCCGAGTAGCACTTGGTTATGAGCAATTAAGAATGATAGCCACGTCGCGTCAGTCCGCGCATTCGGTACATGTTGTGGTCAAGTCATCTGGAGTCAAAGATCACATGAAGCGTCTCTTAAAATTTCGTCCCTTTTCTCTTATCTCTTCCATTAAAATTTAGGAATTGACACAGATTTTCTTTCCTGGGGAGTTTACTACTTAACAGAATTTATATTCACTTTCGACAACTTACTAAATCCGGAACAAGGGCATTCAGCAAAGAATGATTGGTAATGAAAAGAGCCTTGGGAGAGAGGTGCCACTATTACATGCTGAAAATTTTGGCGACAATTGACAAAATGACGGCTTATTAGAAAATTAAAAGCCGAAATGGCCCACACTCCCATCCAATTTGTGATACTCAGTACACTTAAATTTAGCCTCTACATGCGACGAAATCGAAGGGAAAGGGGCGTCTGTACACAGATTAAAGCATTGCCATTTCAATCAAGTCATGAAAACGTTAAAGTCTTGCAATGACAAAGAAACTTGCCAAAAAGTGTGCTCGCCAGCCGGATTACCACGCAAAAAAATTCTTGATATGCATCGATTCTCCCGAAAAACCAACGATTTAGTGAAAAACGGAAGGCCGAAATCGACGTCCACAAGTACCCATACAGAAGCTCAAATTTATTTTCCGGCCTCCTTGAAAAAAAAGACGATATTTAATGGAAATTATATTATAACTCACATAAGACGCCTATCGGCTGTAAATAGTCAGTTTGTCTGGTTTATTTGCATGATAAGTAGGTCAATTACTTCAATACTAACTACAATAAAGCAGCTGATCAAAGCTGTTGTGTAAAGATTTAATACAATGGTACACTGTAAAGTAAGAGGATTTTTCTAGTCCCAAGGTGAAAATTTAGCCAAGACCTTCGTGCAGCCATCTCAGAAAAAAAAAAACAGCCCTATCAACTGAATATCTATTCAAGTCCTCTCTTGGACTTTTTTCAGCCCGTGGTCCAAATCCTGAGCCTTACAGTTAAGAGTAGATTCCCTTTTCAGTCAGTCAAGTCGAGGTTTGTTATATAGTATTAGAGGTATACATAGGGGTGAACGGGCCGAGAAGGGAACTGGTGAGTAAATGCTCGTCCGGGGAATTATCTCGAAAGACTGGTAGTCTGGTAGAGCAGCCTCCATTGTATCTCATCGTCCTTAATTTAAAAACTAAAAATCCCCACGTAGACAATTCTTTTGGATTTACAGAGTAACATCATCCCATTCAGTGCACTCAAGGAAAGACGTTGAGGGAATATTACCCTACGACATGTCATCTCGTTTGTCCCGACTTGAAGGATTTTACGACCCTCAACGAGAATGACCTTGAGTTTTCAAGGCCAGAAAATTGTAAAATTTCTGTAACACAGTTACTGCTACCTTAAGAAAAGAAAGCTCCAAAAACTATTTGAAAATACATGTCAAAGTCTGGATAAGAGCCATAAATTATGCAGAAATAAGGACAAAACATTTCTAAAGAGGATAATAAAAATGACCAGGAATTGAAAAAGTTTCTATTTATATACGTCCCCAGAGCCACTCGGATTGACCAAAACAAAGGACGGGCTCTGTGGACGAGAATGAGTGGCCTTTGGAGTATTCACTGTAGTAAAGTACCTCTTAATTTTTTTTTGCTAATGATTGTATAGTGCACTTTCAAAGAAATGCCGTGATATTGTTTTACTGGCAGATTCGAAATAAAAGAAACACTTGACTGCTAAAAAGGGAACCCGTTTCTCCTACACTACCAGGATGAAAAAAAGTAAACAATATAGATTCTCAGTATGTTACAAAAGCTTTAGAAACGATGCTAAATACAACATATCTAGCTATCTTAAGATTGGTAACATTTTCAGTAGTCCTCGGGGCTGAGTTCACCGTTTCCACTTGCTGGGTCTGATTCTACAAAAGAACAATAAAATTTGAGAAATTTCCAACTGTAAGTGCCGAGTCTTTGAATATGTCTCTTTTTTATTGTCTTTTCAGGGCGCTTTCCGCTCCTGGAAGCATTTGCGTCCTCCTTTTTAGCCAAGTTGAAAGGTCAAACATGGTGGTCCAACTTTACCGAACTTCGGTTGTAAAAACACCCTAACCAAAAATTGGGCTGACTTGAGAGGCTTATATTTAAGAACGCAACTATATATAAATCGGCACTTATGGTTTAACATACTTGGTTCGGAAAATACATACACTATACCAAACCGATATTGAGCCAACCCCAAAACAAAGCAATCAAGCTGCTATATGACTATTTAATTCAGTCATTAGTAAATAATGATTTTTAAACGCAGAGGCCATGAGTTCGAATCCCGTTGAATTTCCGAAGCTATGAATTTTGCGGGTTTATTAATTTGCAATTGCTTAAATTACAATTACCACTGGGACGATCATATCTTCATTTAAATTGTATTTCCGCAGTTCACATCATCTTCATTCTATGTTCATTCCTTTCACGGGTAAGATCAACTCAACAAACTCTCCCAATGTATGGGTCTTCATAGCTCAGTTGGTGGAGCACTACAGCGCTAACGCAGAGGCATGAGTTTGAATCTCGTTGAAGTCACAGTCAGGCATCAGAATCTGATGCTCAAGGGCCTTTACCGCTTCCCTGAATTTATTCTCATCGTGTCAACACCAAAACACTCTTCGCTTACTATTATCAGCTGAGAGAAAGCACTCAGAATAAAAGAGCGGCTCTTAAATGTACAGTCAGGTCATCAGGAATCACTTTCAGCGTGGATGAAGAACAGCATGATAAGCTCTTTTTGCCAGCCGCTATTTGGAAAAAAAAACCAGCCCACTGGCATTTCTACTTTAGGTGGCGCTGGACGCGTTTGATTCCTACTGTTGGTTTCAGCCAAGTGGTTGAGAAGTCATGATCAATATCAGGGATTTATACAGTGAGATACAAATTTCAACAAGCCAATTAAGAGAAAATGCGGCTCAACTCATTTTCCTATAGTTTTGACCCTACCTTCCTCGGTAAGAGCTTTCAAAGTCTCTTTAAGATGGCCTGTTCTTTTGCTTCCTTTAGAAGTAATTTCTAATTTAAAATACAAAAAAAATGATAAATGATTGATTTTCATTTATGGGTTCACATAGTGTTGATTAGGAGTAGAAACGGAAATAGATGCGTTCACATGGTAGAAGGATCTTTCATCTCCTAACTATATCCATTATATATTGTACAAACGCAAATAGTATTTACTTTTAATCTTTCCGAAAAGACATGATGCTGACATTAATTAGCAAGATAAGGATTGTCATGAAGATGAAAATTATAATGATGATGATGATGATGATTATTATTATTACAAGAGATAAATAGGCTCCTGCCATTATTCCTATGATAGCCATAAAATCGACGACAATGGTGATCGGGATTATGATGCTGATCGTATGATGATGAAGGTGGGAATGATCATGATTATAGAAGGGGAGACAACAGAAGACAAGCTCCCCTGATCAGTGTACCTGATTTCCTTAGATCTTCCAGTGCCTCCTCAAGATCTCTCACTTCAGCTTTTTCTGAGCAAAAAAAAAGATGAAAAAATCAATTTTAAAGAAAACTGTCTGGCAAAGTAAATCGCTTCAAAAATCAACGAAGTACAGTCCAACCCCGCTCAACGGACATCTCATTTTTACGGACAGTTTGCTTTGTCCCTGAGGAAAAAAAGCCCTCACATTTTCTCTAAATTCAACCCGCTTAATACAGACACTCTCCATGGTCCCCTAAGTGACCGTATTAACGGGGTTTTACTGTACTGAAGTTGAAGGGTTGAGTATTAAGGTGCTTCGCGTTCAGCAATAACCCTTCACTTTATTCATTAAGCCACTTGCTTTATTCCACTTGATCGGAACACACGCCACACTGAAGAGGCATGTTCATGTAGAATTAATTGACCAATAAATTTCATTTCTAATATATGTCTTACCTTTTTTCCATCTAGACTTAGCTTCAATTGCCAAGATACAAATCAGGAAAATAAGACAAACTAATGGCGTGCGCATGGTGATCCTGTAAACAAAAACAAGAAATCCATGTTTTGCATGTTAAGTAACTTTAAGTTGTTAGCAGGTTTTCCTAATATCAGATCACAACCAGATCAAAAGCCCTTTCAAATAATAAAATGCCCTAGTTTACTAAACCGTACCCTATTAGCAAGAGAAAATGATGATCTTATTGCGCTGGAAGTGAGTTCTGTTACAGTTGTAGTAACAGAACTTACTTCCAGCGCAATAAGATCATCATTTTCTCTTGTTTTAAGTTTAATCTCTCGGTCCATTCCAAGAAAGAGATACCTTTATTTGTTAAGTTTAACTTTTCTGTTAGCTGCAAACTTAAAACCATGCATTTTGTTCATTCATGGAGGTCCGTAGTTAGGTTTTTTGTAACGGGGAGGGGGGGCATTATCGCGAGTGGCGAAGGCACGAGCCTTGTAAGGGGGGTCTAAGGGTTATCTTCTCCCAGAAAAATTTTCAAATTTGGAGGCTCCGAAACTCTGTTTTCAGCACTTGTCATGAGCTATGTTTCAATGTCAGAATTGGTTTTAAAACTTTATCATTAGGCTTCAAAATAGGTCAAATCGTTTAGCTTTGTCGGCAGGGAATAGGGAACAGGGAATTGTGTACATTTTACATTAAAACCAAAATATTCATTAAGTCATTTTTGGTAAAGATTTGTTAAAAATGCATTTTTAAGCAATGTATGGGCCGCTCGGTCAGCGCGAAAAAAAAAGTGCAACAAGTTAAAAAGAACATAGGCAAAATATTTTGCAAGCCCCTTAATTATAAGTTAACTGTGACCGCGGTTTTTTACTAGTGGCTCAAACTTCTCTGAAGGACTGATTTCTTTGTTGAATTCTTAATGGCAATGAAAATGTCAATAGTTTAAACCCCGCGGCAAGAAAAGCAAATAAACTTTGGAATCGAGAAAGAAAAAAAATGTAGCATTATGTGAAACCTTTCTATGACATGTCTATACCAACTGATGAAGGTGTGAGACTGTTTTTGACTCAAGGACTTTAGAAACAGAGCAGCCAGTGGCCATAAGTGACATTTTATTAACATGATCGCTTTGCTCAATTTTCAATTCATAATTACATTGTATAAAGAACTATAAAGAGAGCTGACCGAGGCCTTAAACAATAGTTTTTACTCACAACATTTCGTTTCTATCTTTTTTACCGGGCAGGATGTTTCTTGAGGCGGGCTTGCCTTTTGTTGCCTTAGGTTACTCAATTAATTTTATGAAATATCGAAGCTCAGGTTCGATTTCTTAAAAATTATTTAGGAGGACCTTGTATTTATTTAAGTGAAACTGGGCTAGAAGAAAAAGAAGAACTTATAGTGACGAAATATATATTTTATTCTCGAGGGAGATTAAGAATAGCGCAGAATTTTAGGTTGTAGTTAGTTCCCCTCTCACTAGCTTTCACGAAATCAAGAAAGGATAAAACTCAGCATTTGAATGGGGCGGTGTAACTTAGAGCTCAAAGAATGTAAAGTGGAATTGCATCTGGGGCAAAGGTTAGGATCTGCAGCCTTCCTACGTCGAAGTTTCTTAGCCCAAAAAAAGTGTTCTGAGAATTTCTTTAATCGGGCGCATAATATCAGAATATCTAGCACAGGCTTACTAGTTTCTGAATTACCGATAGCTCATCACCGAGCGATGGCGAGGTCCCAGTGGTAGGATTGATTTTGAAACTTAAAGGATCTTTCATAACTCGTCTTGCACTTTCACGTAGCTTTGTAAATGATAAAATCAATGAGTTAACTTACCAGATTTTGAATCCCGAGACTATCCACGAGGGAAGAGATAACTGAGGTCGAGCTCTATGTGGTCTCCCCAATCTTCGCGTTAGGCTGGAATGGTATTAAGAACCCTGCAAGATATTGCTTCGTTATGCAGGAATTTTCCACCCCCGTACTCATTTGCCATTCAACTTGGGTTTTAATGAAGTGTACTTAATACTTACCAAACTCAAACAAATTTGTTTACTTGGGGCGCTTTAACTAAAAGAAGGGTTTCAATCGTTCCGTAAGAAAGACTCATAGCAGGACTAACTCATTTCCTCCATGCCAAAAGAATAAAAACTTATTAGCTACATTTTTGTCCCTTCTACAAAATTGATTGAAGCGTGTTTAAGATTCCGTGTTTCCTAGTGGAACTGATATGCGAACCAGAGCCATTTTCATGTTAATCAGCTTGGGCTGAGTATGAACAAACAGCGAAACGAACCAATAGATTTTCGTGCTTCTAAACCATTGAAATTTTAGATAGAAGAACCCTAGCTATCATATGATTATTGAATTTTTAAGTAGTTTTTCAGTCCGATTAATTAAAAGTCCCTAATAATGTATTTTTCCCCCATTTTTAATAAGTAAAATTCAGCTACATGTACAACCATCATAAAGTAGGCATTGAATGTCTGAGTTAATCACCTTAGCTGGTTGCTCATTTCTGTTGTTTGGTAAAAGGTACCACATACAGTCGAACCACGAGTGTGGCCACCCAAAATGCCACGACCCAGCGGTCACTTTTAAAAGAACGCGTACGGTAGTAGCTCCGAGTCGGAGCGCAGCAAGTATCTATCGGGAACAGCTTTGTGTTTTCATATATCTTTTTTAAAACATTTCATTTGACTGTCAATGTATTTAGCACCAAAGTAATATTTGAGGACACTAATTTTACGTCCCCAACTTGAGCCGGGACCGCCATTTTATATGGTCAGTATCTCAGCCACGCGAAGGTCTAACCGCTTGCAGGGCAAAGAAAGTACTTTCATTTCTCAGCTATTTTAAGACCTAGGAAAAGAGCCTGCGACCTCCCGCCTTACAGTCAAGCGCTCTACCGATTGAGCTAAAATAAACGTCATATAATATTTTCTGAGTGGCGATTTCAACCAGCGCCATGTTTTCACTAAAATAAGCTTCTCTTTTTTGTGATTCGGCGTTGCGTAGTCGCACTGTGAATACAGAGTTAGATCACGTGTCAAGCGGTCGCCCATGCAGGCTGGTTTTCACTAGAGACGAAGTCAGAGTAGGAGTCATAATCAGAAGCGTAGAACCTTCGATCTAGTGAAAACAGCGTTTTGATTGCGCTTACGACTCCGTCGTTTACGATCAAGTGAAAACTGGGTCGTCGGAGTCGTAAGCAGATGCAGAAGAACTAAACCAATCACACCCACAAAGCGTGGGAACGTGCATTGAGATTGGTTTATTCTTCCGCCTCTGCTTCCGACTCCGACAATCTGGTTTTCACTAGATCGTAAACGACGGAATCATCAGTGGAGTCAGAGGAAAACGGAAACGTTCTGATTCTTCCGACTCCGATTCCGTCGCGCTTATGACTCCTGCTTACGGCCGCTTTTTGATTTTCACAAGGTCATATATAAGCGTTCTTACGACTCCACTTACGATTCCGTCTCCGACTCCGTGGCTAATAAAAACCAGCCTTAAGAGGATGAAAACAATAGACCACTAAACAACAGCCATACAAAAAAGGGTAACCTTCTTTTGGGAAAGGTGGTTTTTTAGGTGAGGTTCCTGTAGGACAAAACTTTAACTGTGATAGCTGGTGTTTTGGGAAGGTGATTGCATGTTTAAAATAGGTGGAAACATTTGGAGTGGGCTCAACTCAGTTTTTGTAGGAGTTTCTTTGGTGGTAAGGCAGTTATACTTTTTTATAACTGCCACGATTAAAAGTTGCCTAACAGAAATAATGATGAAATCATCAGATAGGTAACTTAGCCAGTTCACAAATTTATTTGGCCTTTCTACTGAGCCAAATCAAATCAGTTCAAATGGTCTTAGAGCTATTTTTCCAGACTTGAAAGCATCGTGCTGAAGTTTTCAATTTTAATCCACTTCTTTTAAAGCCTTCCTCAGCCATTTTTCCGTGCGACAGCATGGTAAACGTTAAAGACTTTGCCATTTTCAGAGGTATTTTATTTATAATATATAGCCGTAGCCAAGGCTAAAATCGAAGCGTCCCTTTACACACTTTTAACTACTTCAAACCAAAAAATTCTATACTTAACTGATTTTAAAGCAAAAAGAGAAAATCATAGATCAAGGTCTATCCCAGTAATAGTCTTGAAAAAGGATTCTTACCATACGTCTGGCGTCACTGACGACTGCGTAGGGTTGACAACTTATTGAACATTTGGTCCTATGAATAACTATAAATAACTTAATAACTTAATAATTTAATTACACTTGCAGTTTACACAAACTGCCCTTTGCGTGTTGTGTATTTTTTCGCCTATTTTCTGTAAGATATCTGTTCGGAGAACCAAACAATGCCAAGAATTTTCTATTGCTTAACCAAGGGATAGGGGAGGGGGGGGGGGAGAGAGAGAGACTAGGTTGTTTCTGGAGAGTGACTAAACTCGTGACCAAGCCCCTAAAAGCAAAGCCTTGGAAATTTATTGCCGAACATTTTGTCCCAAGTCGAACACAAGAAACTTCAATCTAAATTTTTACTCGAGTAACTCCGTTGGTTACCCCTACAATTGTTGATTTTGCACCAAAACGATACCAACGTACATGTCTGAGACTCCCTTCCCTATCCCACTGAGTTTTTACCACTACTCCCAGAGTTTGTACGGGCCCACGCTGGCATCATAAACAAATCTTCTGGCATCGATAGGTTTCCATTTTCTTTTAGGTATGGAGCTCCGCTGTGCTAACGCTCCTCTTTAAACTCGTCTGTTGGATTCAGTTATATCAAGAGCCATGTGTGGCAATCAATATTTGTGAAACTGTACAAGCCCTTAGCCCTGCTTGCAGGGCATAGGAAATACCTTGGTATTTAATTCATTTTAAATTTTGAGTATTGATAGGCGCTATTTCCAGCCTCTCGAGGGACTCCGGTTTGCATGCGGTGAGCGCACAAAACGGCTGGAGATCGAGACCTAGAACATTGGCCAACCTGAGTCGTGTTAATCTTCTGACCTCAAGCTCATCCTTAAGTTCCACGTTTGTTTGGATATTAATGACGACATCCAGATCTTCAGGGGCAACTAATGACCGAATGTTTCCAAATACGTCAGAAGCCAGTCTCGAATAGTTTTTTCTGTGCTTTAGAAGCCTGTCTGGCTTAAGTTTGAAGTTGCCCCAAAATTAATGTGTTGGCTTGTTTGGATGTTTGTCCCAGGAGTTTTAGGTGGTTTTTCTTCTCAACCAGCAATGATCTTTGAGATACCTTGATACGTCCAGTCGAAAGTTTGAGAAAAAGGAGTTGCCGTACTTCTATCAGAAAATTATAGGGGGACGTTTTATCTTTATACCGAAAATACAGGAGAGCTTTTTTAAACAATAATCGCAAGATCTTGGAAATAAAATAAGAAAAAATCCGGTCTCCGAAAACCGTAATTAGGTAAGTTTATTAGAAGATATATAAGCTACGAATATCTCCAGCAGACGAATGAAACGGTTATCCAAAAATCTTTAGCCTTCTCGGGCTTTAGAAAATCCGAGGTAATAGATTCCTTTTACAGAAAAAGATCGCTTGGTGCCCCTGACCTTTACAAGATATCAAAACAAAACAACAACAACAATTTAAGCCACTTGCAGGTTTTCCCGATATCACAGAAATTTAATGAATGTGTAGTTTAAAAACGGTCCAACAGCTGTAAATTTAATACAATGATTTTTAGTCCGTCGCTACAGAATCTAATGTGTTGTTGATTAATTTTATTAAAACCCCGATCGATGAATGTTAACGATGATTGCTGTTGAAGTTCTCATTTAAACTCCATTAGTACTCCTGCGGTTCTATAGGCGGTCCTGTAGCGCTTCCATCTGGAAAATCTTCAAATTAAGAGCAAACAACATACATTAATATCTAGTCAATTTTTGAAAACCAGTCTAGTGAAATTTTTAGCCATTTGAGTGAAAACGGGGCATGAGGAAGGTTTTTTGCACCCAATAACCTCTTTAACGGGAAAGAAAAGGAGAAAAAAAAGAACGAGAATGAATGGTTGCACTCATAGTTTCTATATTGGCTATTTTGGCCGAAAATAACAGCTTGACGGAAGAGGTCATTTGGCGGTAACATTTTCAAAAATCTGGGTAAATATATAATAACATTAATATCGTTTAGATATCAAATAAGCCATACAGAAATGGCAATAGCCTGAACTTTAAACACTTAAGCATAGTTCTACTACCAGTTAAGCACAACTCTCTCACGAAATAACCGTCGCATACTTAAGGTGGTTCCACCTAGTAAATTTGTAACCATACCTTCCATTTTTGGATCTCTTATGCGTAAAATTCGCAAAAAGAGCTCAGTATTGTGTTTTACCCTGATGCATATACTTTCATGTTTTTTAAATTGCCCAAAAAACGGCTTGGAAACTAAAATTTCGAGGACGTTTTTGGACTTTTTACATTTAGGGCATGAATTTTTCGTCATTTCAGGCCATGGAACCCAAAAATGAGCCTAGCTAGCTGTAAAAAGGGGCAATACGGAGGCAATACGTCCTAGCCGGCATGATCACATGCTGTTTACGGAAAATTCCCTCATTCATGTCAGGAAATTCTGTATTTTAAAGCCTCCCCTAGGGCATGACTCAGCAATTGAGGACATTTCTGCTACGTTTTCAATGTTGGTTAGCATGCAAGGATTTTTCCCATGCCTATCGTCAATGATTTGCTCACTGGTAATAGAGGGGGTGGCCCCAGAGTGGTTTTGCATTGAAATTGGCATGCAACAGAATTTCGCATGCCCTGTAAGCATAATTTGAGGTTCCGTGACCTTCTCACCCAGGCCGCGAGAAGCCTAGGTTCTAGTAATAAGTAATTCATACCCAGCAAAATCTCCGGCATGCCGGGCATGCCAAATTTCCTGGCATGCCCGGCATGCCAAATTCTCTGGCTTGCCGGGCGTGCCATAATCTGGGTCATGCCGGGCATGCCAAAATCGGTCTCTGGCATGCTCTCAACGCACAGGTTATAATTCCTTGAATCTACAGATATTTTAAGCCTGGCAAAAAAAAAAAAAACTAAACAGATCACAGTACTTATCGTTTGATGTACGGTTTATAGGTCATTTACACGATGACGTCATTGCTATTCCTCTCATTTTTATAGATTTGGTTGTCCCAGCGAAGTTTAAATAACAAAGGCTCTAATTTTCACAAGAAAGTAAAACCCTGAGGGATTCTGCCGTAGTAATAAAACAGCGTCATCGCGGAGATGACCTGTTGGGGGATTGTAAAAACGGCCTCACCCCTTTTAATGAGTCTTTAATAGGATTCCCATTTCACATTGCGAATAAAATAGAATTGACTGAAATCATTAAAAATAGAGACAGAGACTATTTTCTTTGCATAATAAAATGCATCTATGTTCCATGAAAGCTTTTAAAAATACAAGGTTATAGAATATCTTTCAACGTTCATTACATTACAAACTGAGCTAAGCTCCAAAATCACTGTCCATTATTCAGTAAATTATGATGTTCGACAATGCAATGTGCTTGAATATAACGTTGCAATTACAAATCTCTCTAACGCAATTTTCCCTACGTTAGAAAAGCTGTTTTTGTCTTGTTTCATATTTTGATAAGGAGTCTGAGTTCCTCTTTCTTGTTTTGTAGGCTTGCCAGGGATTATTGTTTATGTGTCATTACCAGAGTCTGTGTTCTTTGTTTTTAACTCAAAATAAGTCAGTAATAACTGACAGTATCAAAGAATTGCTCTCTAGAAAAGTAATTATCTCCTCGTCATGTCTGGAAGTTACCTGTAACAAAAAAGAAATGGAATGTTAACACATGCAAGGGCAATATGAAAAAATGAAATAGAACGTGTAGAGCTCAGCTTCTCTTAAGATATTTTCATACTGGCTTGTTGAGTCTGTTAAAGGTCGCAACTAATTGTCTGAGGCTAATTTCACAAGGTGTGCAATTGAGATAAATGCATGGTAAATAAAGTGAAAGAAACGTGGTTTCACATTAGCCAATTTACATTGCGTTGTTCGATGATGTTTACACGCTCTTCTACTGCGAAATAAACCTTTGCATTTGGGTTTGCAAGTCAAGATTATCCCGAGTTTGACTGACACTCGAACAACAGTTTCATTTTTAAGCAGGGAAGGTGTAGACCCATATAAAGCAGGAATATGTAAAGGAAACTCATCGAAAACTTTTTCGCATCTTTGTGGCGATATTCTCTCATGGCCCGTCAACTGATTACTGGGGGTTGTGAAGAAAAAATACATTAGGACCAAAGGTTAAAGCCTGTCCTGTTACATCATTTTGCATGTTACCTAGAGTTCTAATAAATAGGTCATAAAATAGGATTTAACGAGAGCGAATTTGTTTCTTAATCGGTGTATAAAAAAAGTGAAGCTATCAAATGAGAAGTTTATAAAGTATCAAAATTATTAAATTAAAAGCTCAAATAATTAGGAAAATTCCTATACGAAAATAATGCTAGAGACATTAAATTGATCAGATAAAATTCTCAGAAAATATGTCGAATAAAAGCCTCATTGCTTGCTTTTGTTTTTGCGTAAAGGTAGCCAAGTTGAAAAAGCGACTAAATCTTAGTTTTTTACGTTGAACATGTTTATTAGCTTAGTTTTCGTCCGTTTTAAAAGCTTTATAACCCAATCATAATTTTCGGGTTAAAATAGTACAAAGTCATTTCAAAAACTATGTTTATTTAAAGAAGAGCCGGCAAACGTGAACATTTTGTAATTCAGAAATCGGACCCAGCCAGGTTATTTAAGCTTAGAATTTTTTGCATTTTAGCGTCCTATAAATTTACCAGAATCGCCTCTCAAAGGCTTACTGTAGTAAAGCATTTTGTAGTACACTCGTAGACAAGCAATGTAAGGCATAAGTGGTTGCTTGGATAAGACATCCAAAAGAAAAATTAGTTTTGTGGACCTAAACGCACATTCACAGACTGCTTATTGAGTTGTTTACAACTTTGCATTGACACCTGCAGCATGTTCATTTTTTTAAAGCGAAATCCAAATCTGATTTTGGCATTTGATTTACGGATATTTTATTTTGTCTCCAAAAGTGATTGGTTTCTATATTTTTGAAGTTTCCTCTAGTCTTCTTAACAGCAGAAGAAGATTACAAGACGTAGAAACAGAAACAATCCGAAGTGAACGAGTTGAAAACCACTTATGCCTGAGAGTTCTTAGGCATGCTGAACAGCAAGATAAACTGAATGCCAAAAGGATAATTCACGGGATTTTTTCGATATTCAGGCTTTTTCTTTACCAAATTAATACTAAATTTGTACTTACAGTCTCTCGCAGAATCCATTTCTTGTCCAGCATTCACCAACATCTCAACCATGCACCGCAGGAAAAAAAAAAGACAAACAAGTGCGAAGAGACATGACGACATCGTGACGCCACAACTGCCACGCTACAACAAACTAAATTCATCGTCATCCGAAAACACTTCTGCGGAAATTCGGCCGATTTCGTGCGAGCTCGGGGTATCTTCGGATGGAGCAGATGACGTTGCTGAAAGGACTATCGTCAGCAAGGAGTAAAACAGTTTGCAAAATTCGCATAGCCGACAAGAAGCGCACTGAAAACCTAAGCAAAATCTCTCTGAGAAGGCAGTCCAAACTCACCAAATCAGAACGTCTTTGCAGTATTAACGTCGTACTCTCGTACTGACTTGAACGTCCTGGTAAGCTTAATTTTCACCAGTCTTTTAATGCTGTTGACCGAGAAACATATACTGACGGAGAAGATTTGTTATCTTATTGTTTAAAACGCTTTTCCGCGATCAAATTTAAATCTGGACCCAGAAATATCAGTATCGCTTTGAAATAAAAGGATTAATTGATCTGTAATTGCAAGTGAAGTATTCTATTTTATGCATGAATAATGTTGTTTTGTTGTGCTTTTTATTTATAAATCCAGGCTTCTGTCTTCAGTTTTGCCAGTCGATCCCGTGACATACATTGTGACAAACATAACTTTTTTTGTTATAATCTGCATTTATTGCCAGGCATGAAACCTGTAGCTTCAAGCTCCCTAAGATATATTTGGCGATTATGTGATTCTCAGGATATGATGCTGGAGCGAACATCAAAATCAGTCACGCTGGGCATGCCAATTTCATACCCGGCATGCCGAGCATGGCAAACCCAACTGGCTGCACGATCTGCATGCCCGGCATGCCAAACCAGACGAGCAAAAACTGGGAATGAATTATCAACCCGGCGAGAGATCTGGGACCTAAGTTTAGCTAAGTCAATTTTGGGCTGCGAGGGCATGAACCCATTTTTTCCATGCCTATGACATGTAATTTCTAAGTACCAATGTTCCCTTGAATTTTGTCATGCCTAAATATATAAAATTTTCCCTCTCTCATTAATCCTCAGACTGAATGCAATTTTTACGCTCGCTAGGCATGTTCAACTGAAAATCATGCCCATACCGTCATTCAAAACAAAATGCTATCAAATTTTAGTTTCCAAGCCGTTAAAACCACCTACCTTCCAGTCGTACGTATGAATTTTCGGAAACATCCAAGAAGTAGCAAATTTGATTAGCATAATGTCAAGACTTCAGTTAAACCATAAATCACAGCCTAGATGTTGAAATTACGAGCTATCTCGAAATTACTCCAGAATGTTTTTTGTGAAACTTTGCACAGCACTCTAAGGCATGAACCCAAAGTATGCGAAGCGTGGAGCATTTCCAGAGAAAACACGAATAAGGACAGAAAATCGATGATGAGCTAAAACAATTCTGACGTCATTGCCATGTGATATTCCATTCCGATCGCAAAAATGACAAAATCATAATATAGTTCAACCTCTGTAAAATCCACGTGTTATAGTGGATTTACGATAAGGATCAATTTAACTTTTAAGATATAAGAGGTTGAAAAAAGGAGGGTGTGCCTACAGAAATACTGGCTTGAGCCACTATATAGAACATACCCTTAACAATCTCATATACATAGTTGGAATGGTTGGCCCCTGCACACGCCTCGTTGCTTGCCTGATCATCACAGGGATTATAGTCTGTGTTGACGCAGTTATCGGTAGCTCCGTACAAATAAAAACGAGAATCAGCATCTGCACTACTCCAACATTCACCATAGAACTGAATTCCAAAGTACACATAGCCTTTATTGGATGCGGCTATTGCACACCGACAAACAAGCCTGGAGGAATATATAATAAATGATATAAAAAATAAGAAAGGGAGTAACAAAAGCAAATTAAACGAAGGCATCCATACTTCATACTTGAGCTGACGGCGAAAAAGGACTTATCACTGCTCTTCATTAAAAATTATTACTGGACTGTCATTTTAAGAGAAAGATGGGGTCAGAGTAAAAGTAAACGCGTTTTTCTTTCTTTTTTTTTTTTAAACAAAGTTTTAATTTTTAACCCAAAACAATGAAGAATTAATACCAACTAGTTTTTTTGTTTTCAATTTATGCGCATTTGAGCGAAATGCGATCGCTAAGGAGAGTGCACAGAAAGTTAATACTAAAATCTCTCTCATCTCACAGAGTATTAGTAACTCGTCATCAGGGGAAGATATTAGGCGGCAGGACGTACACTCCCCTACTTCTTATCATATCAGGAAGCCTCTGATCTCGCAGAGTGTGTTAACTTACTCCGGGAGATATGTAGCCCAGTTTTTCCAGGATATCTTTTGTCCACTGAATGTTTTTCCTTTGTATCGATCTTGAAATAGCAGTTCTTTCAAAGTCCTCAGTGAAGGTTTACTTTTATCCTTATAGCAACCATGCTTGATGTATTTCAGGGAGCAAGAACTATCTGTAAAATAATCGAATGTTCATTGAAATCGTTAGCTTGCGAGCAAAAAAAGGAAAAGGACAATCACCTATCAAGTTTAGACAGCCAATGGCGCGTAGAATTAATTTTATTATTTATTAATTAAAATCGCTTTCTCAAGAGCTTTTCACTGCATCAAAGCAATGTTTTTTACCACTGATATGTTTTTTATCCACTGGACATCGAGCTTCAAAGTGTCCGCTCTGATAAAAACTCAATACTTTGATTCTCGTTTCGTTTACATTTGCAAAGTCATCCACATTCAGAATAAAAAAGACATTTGCCTTTTTTAAGGAAAAGTGTCAGATGTACAGTTTGCTCGTCTCCAAATGTAACATATCGGAAAGATTGTCGGGATATCTTTGGGATATGAATTGATATTGCGAACAATATCATAGCAATAAAAGGGGGTGGTAGGTCTACACGACTTTTGCCTCATGCCAAAATGCTGCTTATTCCAATAAAGTTGTTTTTATCTGCTGGGTAGATTATACTCTGGAAGGTTCTACATTTACACTGAGCAAATGTGATTTTAGCCGCATGTTTCACACTGAGAGGTCATGACATGACATGACATGTTTTCATACCGTTTTCACTGTTCACCCTGTCCTTAAACTCACCCTCACCCCCACCCCCACCATTACTTACCCACACCCCCACCCTTACCCTCACCCTCGTTTTAGCAACGCCGATGTCTATTTTTAACCGTAATGGCCGAAGCGCATCAAGTGGTGTCCCAGATCGCCAAGAAGGAAAACAAACTTGCTTGGTCTTGCCAAATGAGACTGATGCCTATTTCATTTTTCGTGAATAGTGAAAGGACCGTTTTACTTTCCGTGAAATATGATCTAGACCCCACTTTACCACCTTATTTATGAAAAGCACGATCACTATGTTACCAATGAATCTTTGCGAAACGGAATACACGACGTCTTTATCGTCCAATCGTTCAGAATTGTTCTGTATTATTGGGTCTGTCATTTTAATGAACAATTTCAATGAATAATTTTAATAGTGAACATTATTGAAGGAATGTGTTGTCTTAAAACTTGTCGCTTGTGATCGAGGATTCGAGAGGATACATCATGTGATAGGTGGGGTGAAGATATCCGAGATGAATTAACTAAGTTGACTGACGATTGTTTCTTCTTCTTGCCACCAAAGTGGCCACCATTGCAGTAAGTGTCGTTTTAGAACATTCTCAAACTTCTCTAAATTTAACCCAGCATCAATAACATAATTAGAGACGACTTACCGAATTGTCCTCGACTCCTGATTCCTTTTGTGTGATCACCATGTGTGATGGAGGCAGTGGCGAAGAGAACTGCTATAACGAAAAGTACTTGACTATTCATTACCGTCTAGGCCTGTAAAACAAAAACTGTGTCAGTGCTGGAAGGCGATTTGTGAAAATTTAACTCTCTGCTTACAGAACTCGTGTCAAATAATGAAACAACTACCACATGCACAGTCAATAAAAGGTGTCGCCAGTGACTCACGCAGAGATGCTTGTTGCGCAATTCTCCCCATGAACGTACCTTCCTGGGGCTGTTTCTCCAAAGTTCCAGTAACTTTCGTCCCGGAAAGCTGTTTTATGTTTGTTGTGTTTGAATTCAAGATCAACGTTTCAATAATTTTAAAATAATACAATGAAACTATCAGTCAACGAGACAAAATTGACTGGTTTGTGGGCTAGGAACTGTGCTACTATTCAACAGGTTTGGATTTTAAAATTTGTCTTTTGGCCTGAAAATTAAAGTTCGGACCTTTCGAGAAACCGGATGCGCCTGGGGAGAAACGCGTGACCAAATCCTAAGAACGTGAACGTCTGTGATAGATCTGTTTATGAGAATGGGCATTAGACAGCGAAGAAATATAGTCAACAACACTTTAACCAGTCATTGGACGTGTAAATTAAAAGCTGGAGAGTTAGTTCCGATAGAGACTGTGTTACCGATCATTTGTATAATGCATCGGTTTTAGCAACCTTGGTGTAAAATACTAACAGATTGTAATTGATAAGGAATTTGAGGAAGAAATTCTGACGCAGTCCCAGTCGTCTTTCTTGTGACCGGAGATTTTCATCTGTCTTGTGTCTGGACAGAAGTCGAGTATGTGACATATCAAGTTCTGGTTATTTTCACCATGACCCTGACAAGAGATATGAGCTTGCGTGTGAAAAATGAAAAGATTGGGCTCAAAACGTCAGCTTTGAATTTATTGGAGGCCAATAAACCATTGTTTTACAACCATTGAACAGAAGATCATTTTCGGGAGGCCCCCCTTAGGGAAAAGACTTAGCGCATCCTATTAGCCAAGGGCGGTAAATAACTTCAGTCAGTTCTGGAATTTGTTAGCCTGCGAAACCAGGCGTTTCTTATCGCTCATCGTCGCTGGGGGACGTTTCGCGAAACGTTGATCCCCCAGCGGCGTTGAGCGAGGCGAAACGTCTGTCCTACAATAGGGCTTGGAAATCAGAGACGTTTGGTGTAGAATAGCCTGGCACACTTACGTCGAACTGCTTATAGTGTTCCCTTGATATATTTTGGCGAATGTTATCTTGTGCATCAATCACCGGATAAATTCTTGTGATTCGCAGAAAAACAGACGTGATTGACATGCTTGCTACAAGGGGAATTCGTCATCGAAATCATGCAGATTTATTTTTGCTTGAGCATACGAGTCACGTATGCTCAATAGCTGTTCAATAGCTAGTCAGTAGGCGAAAACTGGCACGTATGCCCAATGCTCTGAGTCACGTGGGGGTAATTTATTTATTTCCCTGCGTCCCTGATCCTTGATCCGGATTTTCCAGGAAACCATTATCAGTTACCAGAAGCTGATCGGTGATTTCAAGATAAAGAATTGGAGCATTTGTTCATAGTTAGTCTGGAACGGAGTGGGACATTTTTGGTTATGATACTCCCACACCTTTACCCCTGAATTCTCATTCACACATTATTACCGATCATCGATGGTAAGATGTTTCCAGAGTGGATAAGCTTCGTAAACAGACGGAACAACATTCTCGTGTGAATGCGCCCCGGGGCAGAGGGGGAACTCCGCATAATTGCCTATACGAGCGGGCTCGAAAGGGGCACCTTTTTCAGGATTCAAGAATGAGAAAGGTGATTAAAAAGGTAGGGAAATCTGTCCTTTCGGTATCTAAAAAGGGCTTTCAATTTTCTTTTAAGTACGGTTGAATCCGGCTTTACGGCCTCCCGCTTAATACGGTCAGCTCGTTATTAGAATACGGACAGTTTTATTTGTCCCGGGAGAAAGCCCTTACACTTTCTTTAAATTCAACCCGCTTGATACGGGCACCGGTTAATGCGGACAACGGACACTTTTTTTTGCCCTACCAACACTTCATTGTCAACTGTATTCTGTAATGCCTTTCCTTTCTGAAGGTAAAAAAAGCCTTTAGGTGACATCGTGACGATGTTCCAGTGCTACATAGCACCGGAGAGGATCATTTGTAGCAAGAGACTATAAAGGGGACAGAGAGGCCATCCCCCATATACACCCTATTCCATAGGTAATTCGTCTCGAGTTATTAGAGAGATTAAGATTCACGTTTACGCCAAACGGCAAACGTGAATTTGTACCACGTGACCAAGTTTTCTCCTTGTTTTTCGTTTACTGTTTATTGTTTCTACACAAAAATAAGTAGTTTTATCCCAGTTTTAACCAAAAGAATCGTTCTGGACTGTTTTTAACTGCTTATTTTCTATTCTGAGAAATTCTCAACTGACGTTTGCCGTTTGCCGTATGCCGTAAACGTGAATCTTAATCTCTCTATTTTTAACACCACAGATCTCAAGAGGGATTAGACAACAGCCAATCACATAGCGCGAATGTGTTCCGCGTGGATGACCCACGCTGAGAGCCACGCGTCCTTCACGAAATGACGCAGAACAAAGTGGGGGAAGACGCGGAGAGCGATTTTGCTATTCCTTTTGTCGACGAAAACGACTACAGCGAGATTTCTGCGAAAGCTGTGTCAGCGAAACCGAAATTAAAAAAGAATCGCCCTTCCTCTCTTGTATAGAGCTAACAGTAGAGCAGGGAAATCCTTAACACACTGAATATTCTCTCAGGATCATTTATAATTTACAGTTTGA